AACACCAGTACTCTTATTAATCATAGCCATCTTCTCTCATTAAGGGCTCATCAAGTTGTAAATTAATAAACACAAAAGCACACTAAACTAAAATATTAGTGATGATAATCAGACAGCTATAAAGGGATCCTTACTTGTCTTGAACAAACTCTTTGTAGTCCTTGTAGTCCCATGCATCATACTTCTTGAACCTCTTGAAATGTTTCTCTGCATCGAAAGGCTCTTCATCTTTGTAAGCAAACACCAAGCCACATTTTGCTCCAATTGCTCCTTTCCGCACCTTAAATCACATAAACCAGAAAGCAAGTGTTATTAACAGTAATCCTTTATCACTGTCAGTATTCTCAAACTTCTCAGTAATGGTGAAATCAAAGGGACCCTTACTTTGATTTTCATCTGAGTGACCTGGAAGTTACTCTGGTCCTCTGTCGACAAGATTACACTGGCTTTCTTTCTGCCGCTTTCGGTAAGAAAACCTTTGGAGCAACAAAAACATTCAGTTATGATGGCATGCTCACAGCTAAAGGCAATCTTTATCTTGAGTATGAATTTTCTCATTGAATAAGGATTTTCTCAGTTTTACCGTCTCCAGTGGAGGATTCTGTGAGCATGTTCTCTGGTCCTGATTTCTCCTCTTTACTTTTCACATCACAGGCCTGTAGGTGCAACTGGAGAGGCTTCCCTGTAATGACACACAAATCATTGTAAATGCATTTTCTATGACACCATATTTAATCATTTAAAAACTTTCCACACAGGTTATAATTTCATTCCTACACTGGAAGGCAATGATTACCACACTGAACTGCAGCTTTATGGACTAAATTTTCCATTGTATACTCCACTAATGCATCTCCTCCCTCTAGGCCAAACACTTTCTCTCCTAGTGTTTAGGTCTATGGTTTCAAATGTCCTTGTGTAAATCAGAGTAAAGGAGGGATGGTCACGTTACCGTTGCGATTAAGTAGTCGCAGCCTGACGGAGGACATAGACACGATGAGAGAAGAGGCCTTGTACTCGGTCTCTAAATGGTCGCTGGTGCAGGACAGGGCCTGAAGCACCTTTGCCACACTTCCTCTGGCCAGAGCAAAGGCTAGGAGGGTCAGCTCTGCATCAGGACTCACACAGCAGCTACATAGATGCAAAGAAACAAATACAAGTTAGTTTTGGGTTGCTTTTAGTCATTACATTATTTTTTGTGTCTCCATAGTGTCGAAGATATTTGGGCCAAAAAAGTATATTTTCATGCATGGTCATGACTTTCAAATGTTCCCTCACATCTTAAAAGGATAGGTTCACATTTTTTCCAATCCGTCTTAAATAATCAGTGCGTAGGATTTAGTGGCATCTAGCGATGAACCTAATGAATATAGCTCCCCCTTCCAATGATGTAGAAGAAACTTAGGTGGCCACAAAACTCTATTTAATAAATACTCTATTAGAATTAAAAGCCAAATAGGAAGGGAAGGAAAAGCTAGAGTAATATTTAGATATTTAACTAGAATTAACTGATTATTTCAGCCATGTTGTTGCTGCTGTTTGATAAAGACCCTGAATGCCACTAAAGGATTTACAGTGCATAGTGTCTCATCACCCCACTAAATCAATACTTTGACTTTAGTCTGTTTTCATTGTGATGATGTCAGCATTATGAGCTCAGTGTGGCAGTGATGGGTGAGTGTGCTGATGTAATCCCAACAGGTCATTACTCTGCTATCCTGAGGAGAAATCCATCCACCTCCTCCAGGATGTTCAAAGAGAAGAACTTGGGAAACTCTGTGGATGACGGTGTTAGGGACAACGGTGGCATGTGCCGTAAGGCTTTTCTAGGAGAAAAACAACACAAAAAGATCCGCTCAGAACCCAAACGCTGGACAAATCACTACACTTAACTCAATAAGAACTGAAACATCATCTTACTGTGTGCTCTGAAGGACAGTGTGAGCCAGTGCAGGGTTGGTCTCCATGGATGCGGTGACCAAGGAGGTGAGGAGAGACAGGTACCAGATGGCAGAAGCATCCGAAACAGACACCTCTTTACTCTTGGTAATCTGATAGCCCAGCGTCTTCAAGCCATGAATTCGCGTGTCACATCCGTCGCTCAGGCACCGCTTAATGTTGATTTGGATGTCTGGGATTTGGTGAGAAGATAATGCAGTTAGCCCACTGATGGAATACACCATGCAACAATGCCATAATCGGTTGCTTCAACCTGTGACATTAAATAGATGTTGATCAAGGGAGAAACAAAGAAATCTCGAACAACCTGACGGGTTAACCTGTCAGCAGCAAGACCAAACAAAAAACTCACACCAGTGCCTGGATTTGAGTCTAGCTAGATTCAATCCTCAGCTCATGGCAGCTTGCATGTGTAATCAAAAGCACCGCTCTTAACCACTCAACTATCTGTGAACCCAGTAGTGGTCTTCTGTAGCTGACGCCATGCTCTGTCCTCAGCAGAGGGGTGCAAATGAGAAAGACAAATTCTCTACAAGCATCATTGAAAGAACACAAAAGCCCATGATAAATAAACACTTAACTAAGGCTACATATAGACTAATATGTTTAAAGCAGATAGACTGACAGGTGGTGACTCACAGGGGTGTGTAATGTTGGCATTCTCCAAGAGTGCTACATAGCCTGTGACATTGCTGGGGATGCGGATATCTCTGATCTCTTGCAGGGAACGGCGGTTCTTCCCAACAGCGACTGAGACCAGCTGAGGCATGTAGCTGTGGTCATTAGAAGCCACCGCAATGGCCAGACGCCTCAAAACCACATCTGGTTTCATTTTCAATCTGGGAACAGAAAAGAGACAAGTTTCCACCTTAAAGTTGATAATATGCATATCTACAAAAAACTCCATGATGTGAGGATCGGGAACATGTGACAATCAGTTGTAAAGCCCTTGAGTCACATTGAACAGAGTGGATGGCCTTGCCTTATCCAGTGAGAGCGTGCACTGCCGTCCGACTGCCAGAATGATGCGGTTTCTCCATTTGTCATCTTGTAAATGTCTGTAACATTGGATGAAGCTTCTATTGTGCTGTAGCACTGCGTGACCACCTTGACCTTGTCCACCTCCGGATCACGGTCCAGCTCTGCTCTGTACTGAATATCTAAATCTGGGGGGGGGGACAAATACTGATTAGGACGACTGTCTGAAAGGTGTGTGGCAGTAACAGACAGATGCAATTCTAAATCGATAATGTATACAGGAGAAGATTCAGAAACGTGCAGTTAAAACCCGTTATTCAGCACTAGCTGGCTGATGTTCACCTTTCTCCTTCTGCAAGAGAAATTCCAAGTAGTCCTGGACCACACTGGACCTCATGGTGCAGATGCTGTTGTAGCCCTCTAAAATAGGGAAAGGGATGGCACTGCTGGGAATACGATTCCTGTGTAAGAATTTAAGGATCTTTGAGGCATGTGCCCCTAACCGGTCTTTGGTCTTGGAGAATATGTCAACAAAACCTGTGGAGATAAAAAAGAAAAGAAAAAGGGTGGGAAGATATTCAGTGTTAGCTCTTCTACAACTTGCTGACAATACCTATTGAAATAAGGTTGACCCTGTTGATCCTGATAAACAAATCACATCTCTTACCTGGAGTCAGGGAGCACGCCTGTAGCTGTTTTATCACATGACTCAGCTCTCCCTTTAGATTAGCTCCATTGGAGTTCTTCAGAGCCATCAGCATGCTCTCTACATCCACCACCCCATCCCCCTCTGCATCGAACTGTCCAAAAGCCTGATACAGGGATAAAGACAGTATACTTAGTGACACTTTATATACTGATTTAGATATAACTTGTGGAGCAATAATTGGTATCCCTCATTGATAGGGCACATAATAAGATCTACATAAATGACCTATATTATTTTTATGTCTGTTTGTCAAGTCATCTGTTGACATGGATTTGGCATGTAGTAGCTCGAGGTGTCATAGGTTTGGGATTTTTAAATGACCCAATGCAGTATGTAGTACGGTATTTAAGTATAGCAGTGGCATTCCATGTCTACCCACACAATACCACATGCACACTAAAGTACACATTCATTAGTTTACCTATTCATCAGCAACAACAGCTGCCAGCCAACAGATCACACAGCAGCATGTTGTTATGCTACAGGCCACAGCTAAAAACCCTGTGACATCAGGACAACTCATTGTCTGCTTTATTGCACACTCTTAAGACATTCATAAGACTGTGAAAAAGATTACAGGGTATCATATATGTCCCTCTCATGACCTCAGTGGGCAATCGTGTTTACTAATCTGTCAGTCATCATAAATGGGCATGGCCACAGGTACAAGCTGTACTAAGGTTATCCCCACACGAGAGCTAGAGTAGACCTGGTATTCCAAATAATGGCATTTCACATCGTTTGTGAGAGGTATTTTGTTTTTCTATGACTATACCTCTTCACACTCATCTCTCGAGGCATCTCTGCTCTCCAACATCTCACAAAATTGTTCCACATTGACAGACTCTTCTCCTCGGTTTAACCGGTCCTCCAGCCACCGCACCAGGACACCCTCGTTCCCGGCCAGGACAGACTCCTGAATGGCGATCCCTGAGTCGCTAATGCGAGCCGCCGCTTCTCTTAGTTTCACTTGCTCTAAGAGGACCCCGGGGCTAGGCGGGCCACCGGTGGGCACGGGCACGTTATTCGATCCCTTTCCGCTTTTCCCAGAACCGGAGCCTCCACCGCCTCCGACGCCGACGCCAGTGGCCGCAGAGGCCGGACTGTCTTCCGCGAAGCCGGGGCTTTCGGTTTCTACGTCTTCCTCGTCGCCGCTGCCTCCACCGCAGCCGCTCTCAGCGTTCCCCATGTTTGTTTCACCGACCTAAGGCCCCCCAGAAAATCTCTGCGGCCCACTGGGTGTCAGTTTTGAAGCGGTTGTACCGGTCTGTACACAGACCTCTAACCTACAGCCAGAGCTCTGCCGTTCACTACTACCGCATTGACGTACTGTACGTCAGCTTGCCAGGAACGTCCTCTGCGTTAGTAGTTTGCGCATGCGCACTCCCGATCCCGTTTACGGAAGCACCTGCGTTGTCACTGTTTTGCAGTTAGAAGGAATGTGATGTGAATGCAGCACATGCCAAAGCGCTTGAAGGGACAGCATGCTCAGCTTTGTGTTTGTCGCGTTTTTATCGCTGGCAGTGTTGTTCCTCTCTCGCGAGTGGTCCGTTATATTTGGAAATGAATCAGCCCCGGGGCCCCCCGCGCGGCTACTGAGCAGCCGTGAATTATCGTTGTACGACGGGGAGGAAGGCAGCAGGGGCCTTTACCTGGCTATACTGGGCCGAGTGTTTGATGTACACAAGGGATACAAGCACTATGGACCTGCTGGTGCTTATCACTTTATGGCAGGTGATTTCTTGTCCTACAGCACCCATATTGTGCTAATGAAAAACACCTTATCTGTCAATATTAAACCACACAGAGATCTTTTAATGTTTAATCGTAGCACACTGGTTAAACATTGGCTGATGCTGATTAACACGCCGAACCCTCAGCAAACCTAAACCAGGAACATAAACCCCAGTCTAATAATAGCACATAATCAGCTATAATGCTATAGCTATATTCTATATACTCTACTTTTATGTCTGTCTGCATTTTCAGGCAGAGATGCCTCATTGGCCTTCGTCAGCGGGGACTTCACAGAGAGTGGTCTGACAGATGATGTGTCCAGTCTGTCCCCACTGCAGGTGATGGCCCTTTATGACTGGCTGGCCTTCTATCAGAGGGGCTACCAGGCTGTAGGTATGTGATGATTGTCTCTTCTTTCATTTGAATGTTTGGTACTGCACATGCATTGCTTCTTTAACAAAACTGGTCAGCGGTGACCTTCCAAGCATTTTGTATCAGGTTCAGTTTAGCTTTAAGATAATTTATTGCCATGTAGTGTAAACTACTGTGAACACACTAACATTACTCAGTGGTAGAATGTGACAAAGTGCATTTACTGTACTGTTCTCAAGGGCAATGTTGACATACTGGACTTTCCTATGTTATGCTTCTTTATTATTATTCTCCACTACATCTCTGAGGGAAATATTGTAGTTTATACTTCTCTACATTTATTTGACACTTACAGTTGACTTTTTTACACAAAATAACATCTGATATGCTTATATGATATGATGCAGAACTACTACTATTGATTTACCCAGTACTATGCAGAGTATCTCAAATTAACTCCTTATTGAAAAAACTACAACATTAAAATGCTCTTACATGTAGTTGTCCGCGATAAAAAAAAAAAGAATATAACACTGAGCCATAATTAGTTAACTGTACTACGTTTTAGCCCTTAACACAAGAAATACATACTGTATGAATCAAAAATTCAACATTTAACATTTAACCAGTATTACCAATGTTTGAACAACTCAAGAATATGCAGTATGAACTAGTGAATGAGGTGTTAAGGTATTTCTCCTCATCAATGGGCATCCATCATCATGTTCAGTAAAATACCAGCCTCTCCATTGTTGAATTGCAGGTCTGTTAATAGGCCGGTTCTATAGTGAGACTGGGCAGCCCACAGAGGCCCTGTTGCAGGTGGAAGCATCACTAGCTGAGGGCCAGCAAATTAAGGCCCAGTCTGAGGCTGAAATGTTACGCTTCCCAGCCTGCAACTCACATTGGAGCGCTGCCGGTGGAGGAAGAGTCTGGTGCTCCACTAAGAGGTATAGAAATAGTTCTGGCCTTAATATGAAATATTAATATGTTTACTGGGCATATCTTGTGATGTACTGTAATAAAACGTGTTATACTAGCAGGTGTTATTGGTATACATAAGGATGTACTGATTTGTTTTGTTTACTCTCCAGTGGTGGAGTGGAAAGAGGCTGGACAGGTGTCCCGAGGAAACTCTTCTCTCCAGGCTCTAGCAGTGTTCGTTGTGTCTGTGTACAAGACCCATCTGCAGCAGAGGAAGACCCCAACTTGCAGAAATATGACGGCTGTCCTCCACATGCTGACTCATGCTCTTTTGAAGAGCACTAGTCTCTGGGCCAGCCCAGAATATGGACCTATTCATGGCCACACAAAACTCAGGAGACAGACTTTTGCCAGTATATCACAGTGATGAACAAAATAAAAAAGGAAGAATGAAGAAAACTCAATGCATTTGTTTTCGATGACCTTTATGTAAAGTTGTCCTCCCTTTCTCTAAAAGGATACACCAGGAAGAGACAGGCTAGATATCTGAGCATACAGATACAATATAATGTGCATAAAAGATTAACAGAGGCAAGATTTAGGTTTGTCACAATGACAAGCACAAACTGCATTAAAGTACAAAACAGTTGTAGTGGTCAAAAATATCACACATTTATCTGTACAATTTAACAATACTTAAAGAGGCCCCACTACTTGGCCATCCCTCTGCTCCACATTCTCCCCAATGATCGGAAATGCCATGTGATCTTGATAAAGTGCACCTGTTAGGCTTAGAAATCAAGAAGCGTTAAACGTGATGGATCGAGACAGCAACTTGACTTGAGGCAACATTGTGGGGACTATGATCACGTCCTCCTACGGGGACCTCATGGCAGATCAAAAATGGAATGTAATCATTTGGTGACTGATTTTGAAATATAATTTATGATTATGACAATGACGTGAAAGGCTACAAATTAAATGACATGCATAGGCATAAGAGGCATTTCTGTAACTGAGGAGGAATTTTGAGAGAATTGTGTTTTAGGGACCACGTTTATGTTCCTCTCTTGTTAAAATAAGCCCATTCCCCAACTTGCCATGTTAAAAAGTAAACATCCATTTAGTTTGGCTGATGCCTACACGTGATAGACCGTTCATCTTTGTCCATTTGTGACATCTTTCACCTCTTACAGTAAATTAATACAATGTCAGTGTTATAAATCTGAGTCTAACTAGATGAAATCTCAATTGGAAATGATGCTCATTTAAAATAGAAGTTGAGTTGCTTTCCCTTTAAATCCTCCTCATTTGTCCCACTTTATCCAGTCAATACAGAATTGGAGCGACAGAAGAGTGAAAGATAACAGAGAACATGCTGATAGTTCAGTCTTTGTAGATCTCGTGATCTAGGGGCATTTCACAGGTTTACTCTGCCCATGGTTGACAGCAGCCTCGGCTCTCATAAATTTAAGTATTACATTTTTGTCTTTGGGCAGGTAACATAGCATGAAGGCTGCTGATGGTAAAATATCCCAACAGAGAACAGGAAAACCCCTCCAAAGGTGACTTGATCATTCAAATGTTCATCATTGAATTGAAATGTGTACTTACAGCAGCTACCTGCTTGTGATAATCATCATTGGAAAGATCATTGAGCTTGGGAAATTGATGAACAGACTCAGTCCAGCCATCACCGAGCTGGAGAGCTGCTTATATCCACTTTAAGATACTTTGATCGAAACAGAAACAAAAATACAATGTTTCACTTTCTATTTTTTAAAACGTCCCTCTAGAACATTAATAGTTTTTCATAGACTGGAATAGTATAAAGATGATGGTCCATAACTGTCCAGGAAACTCTTGTTAGTATGTCCTGCTACTGATGTCCCTTCTCCTGGTGTGCCTGAATAACAAGTTGGGCCTGGCATGGCCAGTGTCAGAGAGTGGAGGATATCCAGGCCACTGCATTACGATACCCCACCCAGAGTTAGTACATCGAAGCAGATGTCACAAACCCTCACCGGCTTGTTCAAGTCAAATTTGATGATGGGTATCTCCTTTATAGAGCACTTGTGGCACAACAGGCGCCCACAGTGGCGGCTAGAATTACCAGTCAAGGAGGAGACACAGGTTTAATCATACAGTTCGACATTAAATTAAAATGTGAAATTATGAATAAATAAAATATTTATTGTACATAAAAAGCCATACTACTAACCAGTGATGTTTCCGTGTTGTAACACCAAACTTGGCAGCACATTCATAGCAGTTGGACCCATCACACCATGGGGGCTCTTTGGACAGCATATCTTAACAAATACAGAAACATAAATCAACAATTACCTAGTTATGAACCCTGAGATCACCATAAGGGTCAAACACATTGTATCCGAGCATACCACTTAAGTTGGGGCTGTCATTTTAATTTATGGTGAATGGCTGATAGATAATGAAGTGTGGAAAACATACCTAGAAGGCGGAAGAGCAACTGTTTGGTTGCAACCTGGTAGTTGAAAATGTTGATGCCTTGATTATTATTGATGCCCAGTCGAGCCCCAGCCCTCACAATGGCACGACACAGGTTTGCATTTCCTTTCATGTAGGCCAGGAGCAGAACTGCAATAAAATACAGACCACAGTCATTTTATCACAGGTGTACCTTGGGTATTTATATGCTATTTGTATACTGTAATAATAATAACAATAATTAAGCAAGCTACAGTACCTGTGTTTCCTTCATTATCTGGTTTGTCCAGAGGATATTCAGGCATACACTCCAGGAACAACTCAAAAATGGCAGCAGCGTTCTCTTTCCCGTAATGGCCTAGGACATGCATTGGTGACTGACCCCTGAGCAGACATAATGCGATGAAAAGGAGACAGGCAAGTTGACATTATGGTCTACAGGTTATCCGTTATGTTTAAAAAGGTGAAACGTTATGCACTGTTAAAATTCTGCATTCTATTGTGTTAAAATACTGCAGCAATTACCTAAAAGTGTGACCTTATTGATCTAAAGGAAACATCTGACTGTGAAAAACTGACTGTGCAGTGTACCTGAGATTGAAGGCCTCAGCATCAATGTTGGACTCCGTGAGAAGGTTTCTGACATTGTTAAGGCGGCCCTGCATCACAGCCAGATGCAGAGCTGGCAGTTAACAACAAGAAGGACAGACAAAAGATGGTGATATTATAATTAATAATCAACTACACAGAGAACAGAGAATAGAGTAACGTAAACAGGAATTTTTAAAGCTGAAAGCAATGACACATTTGAACAAAACAATGTCCATCTTTACTATGTAACTCTTGTGTGAAAAAACTGAACCTTTATCTTAGCTTTCTAGTGAGTCTAATGTAATGTCTAAGGACAGACAACTGTTCAAAGATAATAGCAGTGAATGAAAGACTGAAACAGACTTGATGGGTAATCTGATTTTTGTTCAGATTAGACATTTGTCAATTTGGGTGCAAACTGTTTAATAGAAGCATCCTGGATTACAGAGCATAATAATAAAACAATGTAAGGTACCATTATTGCCATTCTCGTCCTCAGCAGCAAAGTCAACACCATTCTCCAGCAACACAGAACAAATAGTGGCCAGGTCCTGCTGGGCAGCCAAATGTAGTGCTGTCTGCCTGTGTTTGGTCACCTCGTTTACTTTGGCTCCGGCAAGAAGCTGGAAGAAGAAACACGCAAAATCAACTTCACCACTCTTTTAATAACACTGACATTGGCATGAATAGTAAATGCAAAAGAAAGAAAATCTGAGGTTTCCTACCAGGTTGCGGACAATGATCTCAGATCCGGCCTGCACAGCCAGGTGCAGAGGGGTGAGTTTGGCTGCATCCTGAACCCTGGAGTTGACATTGGCTTGGACGCTGATGAGGAAGAGGACACTTTCGATGTCTGAATTTTGCACAGCCACGTGGAGAAAATTACGCCCTTTGTTGTCCACCTGGACAGAAGCAGAGGTTTGAGATCATGAGAGATTAACACTGTAACAGTCTGTAAGTCAACATAACTTTTCTAAGTGAGACACAAATTGGTGTGTGAGCGCTACCTGTTCAGCAGCACCCGGCTCCCTCTTGAGAATAGCCTCTGCCGCCTTGTTGTTCTTGTGTGTCATGGCACAGGCAAAGGGAGTCATTCCTTGACGGTCACGTATGTTGAGACGAATGTCTGGATGGGAAATGAGGAGCTGTATGATGATGTTGTGCTGGCTGCTAATGGCAGCATGGATGGGAGCTCTGCCCTCTGCATCCTGACAGAAATAGACAGACACAGGATTAGAAAAAGAGCATGTTTACCATTCACTTAATCTCTCATTAGCTGTATGCTGTAGTGGCAGGAAAACAGTAGCATCAGACAGAAATTGGCCCACTGATGTGACAGGACTGACCTGTGCATTAACATTAGCTCCAAACTCTAGAAGGCACTGCACCACCTCCTCCAATCCCCAGCTGCTTGCAAGGTGGAGAGGCGTTTGTCCATCTCGGGCTTCTTCGTCTCCTTCCCCGTTAGAGCCTGGCCTTCTGCAGCTGTTCACGTCACAACCACTATACACACACATAAGGCAGACACTAAGTTAGGACAGCCAACTACGTCCAGCTCAATAACACAAAGCTTAAAAACAGACAGGATGCTAGTTTTAGATCTTTATTCTAATTGGCAAACTTTTCTCAGAATATTCACAGTTTAGGCAGATATCCACAGCTAGGATTAGGTTTACAAAACCACGATGGTAAATTGGCTGACCTGCGAATGAGGAAGCAAGCGGTGACCTCATTATTCTCATCAACAGCTCTGTGCAGGAGAGTCTGCTGGCAGCCAGAGGGCCCTGTGCTCCAACAAGTCGCATCACAGCCATGGCGGACCTAGGTGGGACAAACAGGACTCAATCAAAATGCATAAATGTTATTTATACAACATATATAGAGCCTAAAACAAGGCTTTAACACAGACTAAAGCCTTGATTCCTCCGGGCATTGCTCTGTGATTTTGCTTTGGGACGTCCTCCATGCGGCTTCATGCCCCACCAGGAGCATTTCAGAAGCGGAGCGTTTTGTTAACTTGCTCACATTTTGTTGATTTGGACATTATTCCTTGATGTATGTGCTTCTACCATTGGTTGGTAGGCCACGTAGTTATATTGTCTCACCAGTGTGGATGCAATATCTTCTAAGCCATTCTCCAGGGCCAGCCACAATGGAGGGTCCCCTTTGTCATTCACCACAGACATATCTGCTCCTCTTGTGCAAATGGCATCCACCACCAGTGGCAGCTGGTTACTAATGGCCAACTGTAGTGCGGTTTGTCCCTCCTGGGTTCTGGTAGGAGAGAAAAAAATAAAGACATGAGACAAGACTAGAACAAATCAAAAACTCCCGCCTCACAATTCTCAAAAAGTGGATACTGAGAGATTAATTTGTTGCTGCTAATGGTAAAACTAAGGGGTCTTTTCCTGACACATCATCTTTTTCCTGTATCTGTATTTTGGGGCCTATTTTGGGTTGTTATATGTTACCTCTGCACATTACTTATTGAGTGTTTCTGAAAATGGTTTAAATAACAGAAGAAGAAAAAAAGGGCAAAACAGCAATGACCCCAGTTTGCATTTGGCCAGGGGACTTAATTGCATGTAATTCCTCCTCTGTCTCCCCTCCATTCCTGCCATCTCATCTGTTGGACAACTACTAAATGCATAAAATGGTCAAATCTATTTCAAATGCTTTACAACTGCAGTATAACCCAGGCATTACCTAACATTGATGTCTGCCTGATGCTCGAGAAGGAAGAGGGCACTCTTGCTGTCCTGTCTTTGAATGGCCATGTGAAGCAAGGTTTGTCCATTAGACATAGTGTCATTGATAGAAGCCCCTGAGCCCAGCAGCTGAGCTGCTATGGTGTGCATACCTGACAGGGACAGATTGTACATGTTATACATCACATACACAGAACACCATGCAGTCTTGTAACAAGGTTATGCACCCTAAAGATCATTTTGATCACACAAAATCGACTGTATTACAACTTCCCCGTGGAGGTGTAGTGTTGTGTACCTGTCCAGAGGGCCAAGCCCAGCACTGTCTGGTCCATGGAGTCTTTGAGACTGAAGTCTGGAATGATCTGGAAATTGTTGGTGGCATGAAGTGCATTGGCTGCAATAGAACCATCAAGAGAGAAATAAGTGGATCCATCTCAGGACGTTTGAGGACATTAGTGATAACGTGTAGTGAGGAAAAACACCCGCCATGTTTGCATTTTAGTTACAGGCAGTCAAATGGATAAACACCCAAAACATATACTAACCTTTTTGCTCGAGTATGACAGAGACCACATCTGAGTGGTTGTGAGCAATGGCCATGTGAAGGGGGGTCTGCATAGCCACACCAAGGGTGTCATCAGGTAGAGCCTTCTGGGTCTGCAGGTTGGGGTTGGCCCCTTGCTGGAGCAGCTCTGCTGTCAGGCTTGCCAGGCCACAGCGACATGCTGTATGAAGCGCACTCTCACCCTGAAAGAAGGTGAAATGATTAATTATATCTTTAATAGTAACACATAAGAATTTCATATCTTATGATTCAAAGAGAAGTTGTTAAGTTACTTTCAGAGGTCTACAGATGTAAAAAGACCAAGTAATGGCTGCATGTTACACAGCATGTAACTGGTGTCACACTGTTAAAAAGGACACACTTCTT